ATAACCAGGGAGTAAAATCACACAGAAATCAAGGAGGTCACATTGACCTAGAAAGAAATGGGATGGGAAAGATCAAGATAAAAACCGCAGTGCAAATCGAAGCTGGAGAGATACAGAAAGAGATCTAGTTTAAAGACAGAGATGGAGCGGATACTGACACTCCATATATCGTACGTTATTTATCAGTTTCACAAACCTTATTGATTCGCCAATAGAGTATGTCGCAGTGGCCAATATCCAGCTGCAATAATTTCACTTTTTTTGCCTTTAGTCAGTAAAAGCGCATCAACTGCTTGGGCGCTGCTGCAGCAGCAGCTGCTGGCATCACATTCTGGCAGCTGTTCGAGCTGCTTGGGCGCCAAAATGATTCGAGCCGCTGCCCTGCAGCACGCGTTTGAGTGCTTTATGGCCTAAACGTGATTTTCAGCTTGTCTATTAAACATTTTGCTGTAGTTTTTTTTCTAGATTTCTTTTTTTCGCATCGTTCTGCCTGCTGCGCATTGTTTTTTGTCTTTGGCCTTGGCTTTTTACTGGCTGCTGCTGCTGCATCGACGACATGCAGTCAGTGCACGTTTCGAATTTTGGGCAACAATTGTTGAAACATGTTGTCATCCAGTTAGTTAGTTGCCATGTTTGTCATTTTGTTTTCTCTGCTCTCTGTGCTCTCCCTGTCTCTTTGAACTGCCTTTATTGAGCTTAGTTTTCCGTCACGAATTAAGTGCGAACTGGCGCAGTTAGCGAAAAACTTTAACGGGCTAAATGTGTGTCACGTAGCCAAAGCTACAAATTGGAATTTATAATGCAAGTAAAATGCTCAAAATGATTTATTGTACGGCTAAAAGAAATGCACAGCTCGCTTGTTGGCCAAGACCGTAAAGTAATGAAGTCAACGCAATGAAGCTTAAAATGAAATTTATTTTAGTGTTGTTGCTAAATTCTTATTGGTAATGATTACTTGGCTAGGAGGGACGGACAGACGGACATGGCTCGATCTACTCAGCCTTTTGCCTTGATAAAGAACAAATATATACAGTAGAATCTCATTAATTCGTATCCCGGTAAATAAATGAAAAGTATTTCCAGCCCCTTGAAAGAAATTTGTTCTTAATAATTCTCGATAAATTGTCGTTTCGAACTATCGCGATTCTATTTATATATTTTTGTGGGATGTTCCACGCCTCCTGCTGCTTGTTTCCTGAATTCAAATTTTTTAAGAAAATCCTCTAAATATACTGTATAATATTTTCAGACTACTACCAATTAAGATATTCCATAGAACGACTTTCTACTCACATTAGACATTGCATAGTTCTCATTGCAGCCTGGCATAAATCAAGCAGTCCAAAGTAAATATCCGTTCAAATGCTAAACTGGCTGTACGTGCTGCGCTTTTGGCGCAAATGAAACGCAGCGAAAGTTCATAAATCAAAGGCAAATAAACACTTTTTGGCCAGAAGCGACTTCAATATTTCAAATCGAGAGCGTCGCAACAGCCAACAGCCAGGATGAGTTCTCACGTTTCGCACGCGAAAAAATGCGCCGGCAATTGCATTTGCGATTGCAGTTCTGGCCAGAGTCACGGAGCCAGCGGCTTGGCCCAGTGCAAGTGCTAACAGCAGGCTTTAAACTTAATGAAAATGAACTTGCGCCATGCATTTTGGGTCGTGTCATGGCCACATGCCACCACGCCGCCTCAATGTTGCATTGGCTCACGCGATTCTATGGCTTGGCCCGCTGCCGCCATAAATTTAATGTTGGCAAACAATTTTTGGTTTTGTTTGACGCACGGCTAACAGGTAACTGCTAACAGCTAACAGGTAATTGCAGTTTGCGGCGCAATATTGCAAAACTCGGAAACGGCAGTAAATGTGGAAGGCAACAAGCCGAAAAGCTGCAATCAAATACCCTGCAGATGGTGGCAGCAAAGGTTGCAG